ATATTTTTGGTGCTGATTATTGGTACACATGGCTTCATATATACTGAGCACACACTCTCAACCCCACTATGTAACAATTTTGAACAATGACAATTACAGCCTACATCCCATTAGGATATGTTTCATCATTTAGTGAGGTCCCTTTCACAGAACATTTATTTTATAAAATTCATACTAAACCACAATTTTGTTTTTAAATTTTGCTTACTCAATAAAAAAAATTAGTAAACAGCTTGATTCTCCTTTTATTATCAGTTACAAAATGTCTTTGAAGAAAAATGAAGACATATGTCTTTTCCTAACTTCTTCATGAGTAACCTAATCTGCCTATGTAATATCAAGGGGCTTGGGATTTAGCTCAGTTATACAGCCTCCTGCATCCTAAGTGCAAGGTTCTGGGTTCAAAAAAAAAAAATATGTCCTCAAAGGATTTTTCCTGGATTTCTTAACACAGTAATTCTACTCACAGACTGCAATGTTAGTCCAACAGACATTAAAGTTTCTTAAGAAATAAACCAGTTTATGCCTGAATAAGGTACCAGATAAACAGTTTTTTGTACTTAATGGAAAGTTTCACAAGCTGTACTTCAAGGGAGGGCAGGGGTAAGGGGAAAACATGAGAATCGAGACTTGCCATGTAGAGGTACAAGATCCCAACAATGAATGTAACTGTACTGTATCCCTAAAATGTACCAATAGACTCAATTAAAGCTGGAAAAAAAAGTAATTTATAGATCTAGTAACATTGTAGCTTCGCTTTTCTGTCTGGCTTGTGACCCCTACCCCCACCCCGTAAATTACTATTAAGTAGCTTTTTATGCAAATTTATGGCTAATAATTTAATGTATTTTTGAGAAGCCAGAATGACATTAATATGTCTTTATTCCTTTTTACTTCAGATTTCATGAGCCTGTTATTTTGTTTTCAAATTTTAATTGTAGATTACATAATATATCTTAACAAAAGAATAAATACCTTAACACTAAGCTGTTTATATATATTTTATATTGCACCATTTTGACATTCCTTAAAGAAAAAAAAATAAAAATCATAATAAAAGTGTAGCTAAAATAACATGAGGTCTCCTAAGAAAAATAAATCTGTGATCTACAGATGAATACAATCTCAAGCCATGAACAGCTTGTGTTTATAGAAAAGAAGTCAAATCACAGAGCATGACTTCTTTTACTTTTGTTAAAATATAGTGAATGAAATGGAAATTAAAAATAAAGTCAACTTTGTATGTCATTAAGGGCCTCCTTTACTTAAAAACTTAATACAAACTTGGAAATGCAGAACTGTATATCGTACACTAGGCATATCATAAACAATAAAAGAAAATAAGAATGACAGCATTTCATTCAAATGAAATTCAGGTGAAGGGTGAGATTACTAGATCAGAATGTACTTAATATCCTCACCAAGAAGCCTGAGAATAAGAAAAGGCATATTCTTGATACACCCATGTCTAATAATAGATGGTGCACAACTGCAAATACTTTCACATTTCAATCTCCTCCTGGTGCAAAGGGCCGGCTCAATACCCTAAGGTTGCCAGAAGTTAGTCCTGCACACCATTATCCTCCTTTATTCATCTTGATGTCATTAATATTATCTTCGGTCCTATCTGCCCTTTTAACCTATACATCCTTACAGTAAATTGATATAAGGTAAAAGTTACTCATAAAAGTTGAAAACAATGTCTTTATTATGAAGAAAAAAATAAGCTAAATGAGCCAAAAAGCATTCTGTGAGAAGTTAAAAGTATAAAAACAAAATGTGCCCATAAATAAACCAGAGCGGAAAAATCTCCTAGTAAACACAATTTAACTTGTTTATTTGACAATGAATGTGCAAATGTTTTTTTCAACGATATAGGGAGTGATGATTCTAAGAAAGATAAATGTCAACACATTCATTTAGGCACAGATCTTTTCTTCTCAAAACCACATTCTGAAATTATTGTTTCTATGAACCTCATAAAAACCATTTTGAGATTGTTAAAGCAAAGGAAAAAAACCTAATGTAAGATTTGCAACATGAAGCTATGGTAAAGATGGGCACTTTTCCATGGAGGAAAAATACAGGTGACTTCTGATGATATCATCATACTGATCTTTCCAAAGTACCTGTATTTAAGACCTGCTCAACAGAAAAAGCAAGCAGTGATTGTAAACCAGGCAGAACAGGTAAGTACTGCCAGGACAAGATTGAGGGAGATAAGTCTCCCTGGCGGCAAACTTTGAAGTGTTACCCCCTTGCACAAACCTGACAGTGAGAATTCCTTTAAATTTTGTGGCTGAGGAACATGACTATCCTCACTGCAGCTCAGGTCTTCAAACATAAGAACTCTATTATGACATATTATAATTGATTTCAAAAGTTCAGAAATGTAAATTCATTACAGGTACAGTAAATACGCTTTTTTGGGAAAAAAAGTTCCATAAATACAAAAGCATGTAGGAATTGAGGTTCTTTCAATCACAAAATTTTGCAACAAGATACTCATGAGATTTGCTTACACAAGAGCTTGTACACAAGTGTTAATAGCACTTTTGTTTGTATTATCCAAAAAACAGAAGCAAACCAAACATCCACCAACTAGCGAATGGATAAATTTATCTATGCAATGGAGTGAGGTTCACACTTCTAAAAGAGGAGGAAAATTCTAATACATTCTATAATCTCTATGAAACCTGAAAATATTTATGCCAAGCGAAAGGAGGTTAAAAAAGGCTATATATTACAAGAGTTTATTTATAATAAAATGGCTAGAAAATGAAAATTAATATGGAAAGCAAGCAGATTAGTGGTTGACAGGGTGATAGAGTGATGGTAACATATAAGGAGTGAACTCTTACAAGTATAGGGTTTCTTATTTGACAGAATGTTCTGGATTTAGATATTGAGAATAGTTTTCTAATACTATGACTATATTAAAAATAATCGAATTGTGTTTGCTAAAAAAGTGAAGTGCATTTTATTGTGAAGTATATCTAAATAACACTTTTAAAGATAAAAGTAAGAATCTGTCTATCTTCCTTCTCATAGCTAGAATTTTGTGAGTACCTGTGAAAGTTTTAGCAAATTTGTAAATGTTTCTCTATATATAATACTCAAAATGATTCTAAAATAAATCTTTTCCAGAGAAAGAAGTTAAAGGACCAAGAAGGTTAAGTAATTTGGTCAAAGACTGTTTTGTTGTAAGGGACAGAGCTTAGTTTATATAATGAGGCAATTTGGCTTCAAGGCTTTAATCACCTGAAGTAAATACCATTAACAGCTGGGGCTATATATGCCCTCAAATAATTTTCATTGGAGAGAATAAATACAAGCACATTGAACTATTTACTATGGTTGTTTCTGTATTTAAAAAGTGGGATAACAGTGGCAGAGACTGTATGCCATAGAAAAAGCAAAACATTTTATATGGTTTTTTAAAGGAAAAAAACTGATGATATAAAACCTTCTTTTATAAGGAAGCATTATATCATGTTGAACCTCCCAGATCTCCCATATCTCCTTTATTTCCTTCAACTTCTGTGGACAAGTGAGATATGCTCTCCTCTGTACGGACTAACATCTGACTCATTCTTCCAAACACCTTATCTTTCCAAGCTCAAGTCGTCCCATGAAAACTTCTGTTCCTTTACAAGGACCTGGAAGAGCAGAAGAGGAGGGCCTACCCTTCTGTTGTCACCTTACAGTGAATGCTGTGGTGGGCCTCTTCCTTTTGTGATTGAGATATTTATTCTCCCCCTCCTTGAGAGCTCAGAACTCTCTCAAGAGTATTTTCAATTTGGGCCTGGCCAGTATCATTTTACCCTTCTTAGAAAAGCAACTTGAACCCAGAGAGACAACTGGAAGCTGAAAGGATAAAGCAGTCCAAGTGTGTTGACCAAGAAAAGAATATTCCACTCACGTTGGAGAAATCCAACATGATGCAGAGCATTCTAGAGAATTCTCTATTGTGAGTAGACTCATTAAAGATCTTCCACACTGTAGAAACACTAAAAAAGGAAAACATCTCTTATACTTGTGGAACGAAGGTTCTAGTATGTTACACTGTTATAGAGAAAGAGATGGGTTGGAGGTGGAGGTGGGTGACAATGGAATGCAGACTCCGAGGATGTAACCTCTGACTTGGTTTGTTGTTGCTGCAGTTGTTTTTTCCTGCAGTTCATGAACTTACAGGCATCAAACTGTGATCCTATTATTAACACGGTATTAATAGTAATAATATTATTCATCTAGTCCAGAAAAAGCTCAAACATGTTATACCATGACCTTCAGAACTAGTGAATTCCAGAGAGTAAATAAATGAATGCTTTTCATAGAAATATTTTCCTTACCACATTTCTCTAAAACTGTTGGATATAAAATATTTATGATTTTTAAGTCATTCTATTTAAATCAAAGGTGAGAAAGAAGGTAGAAGGGGGAAAAGGAAAAGAAAGGAAACATAAGGGAAAGTAGAAAAAAAGAAGAGCTATTTCTTTGAAATTAGTATTTTCTATTTTTTAAAAAAGATTGGATGACATACTACATACTACATTCCAGAAAGCAGTCTGCTTAATAAGCCATAAATAAGGCCTAACAAAAAGGGAAAATTATTGAAGTATACAACTTCTGAATTCTACTGGGCATTGCACATGGTTCAGAGCACAGACCCTTGGAAGATTCAGATAATACATTCAAACCTTTGAAAATATAAGGTATCACAAGATTACAGTTCAAAAGGACAACTTATGAGCCTAAGAGAAAGGATAAAAATTCTGAGACTTTTCTCAGGCTGTACTTCATGAAGTAATCATACCAATTTCTTCAGGAATGCAAGAATTATTGCAAAATCGTCTGGTTCGGGATCTACAAAGATACTATTGAAGCTTATCTTTACATATAAGACAAAAGGATTTCAAAAAGAATATTAAAAAATATTCCATCCTTTAAAACATTTTTTGTTCTTCTTTTTCATGGAAACAAAGAAATCTTCCACTCACCTGTATCAAATCCCACACTTGGCACTATGTCCACGGTTCCATGAAAGGCTCCGGCCCACGCTGAGGTAGCAGTGGTGACTGCAGATGGATCTGTCTTCGCGATATCACACTGGGGAGCAGGAAGCCTGGCCGCACGCACTGATGGCATCAGCAGGGGCCCGTAGGATGGATCCAAAGCAGAGCCAGCAGCAGGGTGGTGGTGATGGTGGTGATGGTGGTGATGGTGGCGGTGGTGCATGTGGGTATGGGGGTGGTGGTGCCGCATGTACACGTCATGCATGTGGCTGTAGGATGGGCTCACCTGAGATGCCAAAGGGTAGTGCCAGGACTCAGACACAGGAGGGGGAGGTGGTGGGCCAGTCTGATGCAGGCCATGTCCTGACCAGGGGCTAGGGTCTGCTGGAGTAAAGGTGCCAGGGGGTGAGGTGACTTGGAAGTCAGGATGAACTCCCCCCAGGCAAGGTGCAGGTGGGGGCTGATAAGAGCTGGTCCAAAAGGAAGCTGGAAAATTACTCCGCTGGCTTGAGAGGGCTGAGCTGTCTGAGAAGACAGAAAACACATTATTTTCATAAGATTCAGTTCTGGGAAATATTTGCCTTTACTTGTCCAATCATGTTTTACAAGCAAGTGAATTAACTAATAGGCACTCTTTCTCCACACAGGGATGGAGTGATACTAGGTCAGCCTCTGGGCTGTCATGTCAAGACCATAGCAAGGACTCAGAGTACAGAATGAGGGTCCCTAAGCCCTGCCGTCAGTCTGTGCACAGTCTGCAATTTGGAGAATGAAAATTTCATTCTCTTTTGGGACACTTGCTACCCTCGGTCTCAGCAAGAGGTCATAGATAATAAACACACTTCTCTGATAAAAAAAATTTATACCATAGATGAAATAGGCGTAGATTGGAGATTATCATTTTATCATCATCTTTTAAGTACAATTTTTATTCAAACCAAAAATTCCAATGCTAAGTAGCAAATGGAAGTAAGATCACACGTAATTGTGCCCACCAACTTTCCCTCCCTATAAAGATCGAGGAGTCTCTAGACTGATAATAATTACCTTCTAATGAGAGGAAACAAATGCCCCATGCCAAATTAAGGCTTCTCATGAATGATTTGTACACTCCTCCCTCCAGCCCTATGAAATACAGTGGTACCTAGATTCCCAAGCTTGATTCTTTCCACAATTCTGGTTGCAAATTGAATTGAACGAGAACCAAATTGAGTTCAGTGGTTACGTTCAACGCTGACCTTATGGGCAAATTTGATTCAGTTCTCATCCAGTTCAGTATGCATGAATCATGCAGAATCATGGAGCGAACTGAGTTCATGAACTGAGGTACCAATTATCCCCATTGCATAAATTGGGAAATGCAGATAAATAATAAGCCTAAGACCTACATTGCCAAGAACAAGGCTGGCTTTGAAGTCAGGTGACTTTCTCAATGTTAATGCTGACACATTGCACATCATGCCACAAGAAAGCACACTTATAACTACGAGCTGAATATGTGTGATTTGTTAAAGATTTTCTGAAAATCATAAGTGGAGAAGATTTGAGCAGAGGTAATAAAGTTGAGGAAGTTTTTGGATAAGAGGGAAGTAGAAAATAAATGCATACATAGATGGAAGAGGGAGAATTTGTCCCCTAACTCTGCATAAATTCAATGTGTCTACCCTATCATCACAATATATTTATGGGTGACCTATCATGTGCCAAAAAAAAAGGGGTTAGGGATGAATGATCCCTATCTGGAGGGGAATACACAAGTTTAAAAAGTGCTGTGGTATATGGTTGGTATTTTCAGATGAGGAATACAGAGAGCACACTGAACCAACCTAAGAAAGGGATGACCACATCAAAGTTAGTACTGTGAAGAGGCAAAACAAAATTTTAGAAAAATGAAACAATGTGTGAAAAAGATTATATATTAAAAACGTAGGCATGCATGCATGCACACAGCAGCAGTAGCATTTGAATAAAATGTGTTCAGTAAATAGCAGCTGACAAAAAAGAAGAAAAATTACAAGACTATAAAAATATGAAGGGCAGGGGATTTAGCTCAGTGGTTCAGTGGCCTGCCTTGCAAGCGCAAGGACCCGAGTTCAATCCCCGGTACCCCCCCAAAAAAACAAACAAAAACCCAAAATAAGTAAATAAACAAACAAATAAATAAAATAAAAAATATGAAGGACCGAGATGAATGTTTTCCAGTGTACCAAATGTGGGGTATAATTCTGAGAGAAATGACAGTGGGTTTGAAAGATTAATCTTCAAAAGGTGCCTATTCGGATCAGTATTTAGAAAGATCAGTCCATTTACCTGTAGCATATTGCCTAAGTATTGTGTAATTCAACTCCCCTGCACTAACTCCTCAGATTTCAGGGCACCCTTGGACCTCACCTCAATTTATGACCCCAAATGTATGTGTCTGTTGGTCCTTCAGTGAGTTACATTCTTTCATTAAAAAAATGTTTGGAAATCATTTAATTCAAATTATCTCTGGCTCAATACTTGTATCAATCTATATAATGTACTGTGGATTATTTTTATCTATAAATAAAAATAAAGTTGTTAAAATATTAATGATGAATGTATAATAAACCTATTTTCATTTTCATACTGGTTTCAACATAAAAAGAACTTTGCCAGAGTTTTCTTTTGATTGAAAAAATATACATACTAAGAAATACTCTGAATATAGAGGATTCACGGCTAAGATATCTTTGGTTTCATTTTATAAATTTCTGGGAGACTTTTTTTGGGGGGAGCTCAGGGAAAGGTTAAGTAACTTAAATCAACCAGCAGGTATATCACGAGGTTAGCATGATTAGTGCATCAGTGTCGTGCTCACATACTTTCTCTATCATCACTGCAGACTGCCATGGTGGTGCAAGCTCTTCCACTCTCTCCTTCAGCCCCTTAAAAGCCACCATCACTCCACCCACCCATCCTGGGAGCTCACAGTGATCCCCAGGCTCACAGCCAAGAGTCTCCCTCACAGTACTTCCACGGATTTTAAACGTTGGGGAAACCTGGAGAATGATGTTCTTCAAGGGGCAAAGGATGGACCTGCTTACTCCTCAAGTTCTCTCATATACTAAGAACCTTTTAGTTTACTGTTTGTTATATCGTGAGCAATCAGAGAAGATAGCACTTAAAATCAAACTCACTGGCACTGTGGTAGATAGGTTTTATTAAGCGATTACCTTTCCCTGGCATATGAAAAATGCTAGTAATAAAAAAGGAAAGCAGTATATGTTATGAAAATTCAATTTGCCTTAAATAATGGCATTGACAATATTTTGTTACACACATAGTGAAAGCTACTAGCGTTAAAAATTTAAAACACACACAAGAGTTTACAGAAGAACTTAAATTAAATTACATAGTGGCTACTACAGGTATCCAAGGTTGCGCTCATAATTCCAATTTTGGGAAGCAAATCCTTCATTCAGCCATAACTTCCATTTCTGGGTACAGTCAGAATTCTGTTATGAAAATTATTGAACCCAACCCACAAATATGTCTCAGAGACACAGAGTCCCTCTTATTGAAATTCCCCATCAACATGTAAAGCACAGAGTAGATACCATTTCTCTGTAAGCTTTCCTTCCGTTTCTTTTTATTTACATATACATGAAACCAATCTTTCGATAGATGCCTAAGCATTTTGGATATACCAACACAAATACGAATGATGAACAAATTCTTTACCAAAAATATGATCATCCTGTTTAGGAAGTATTACATTGTGATTAGTAAATATATTATCATTGAAAGTAGAAATATATTTTTGAAAATCCACTCCCTAAAGATTAGACAAAGGTTTAAATTTCCTCAGGAAAAAATAAAATTAAAAAGCTTAATATTTTCCCAGTCTGTGTATGTCTCCTGAGATCAATATAAAATTTGCAAGATTTATGCAGCCCTTTTTAAAAACACCATTACATTTTAAAAGAAAATAAAACAATATTGAATGGAAAAAATACACCTATGAAGAAATCTATTTTATAGAAACACTATTTGGTATCCTGCTCTTTTAAAGAAAAAAATCTTGACAAAAACAAATAGATGATATGCTTTGTTTCCTGCTGGGGAGTCAGTGTGCTTTTTCACATAAATGTACTTTTTTCATTACACAACACTGCTTATGAGTACTTAATCACAGCCACATTTGTTGAATGAAAAAGCATAAAAATATAGGTGTTATTTCTAAGTGCTTTTCAGTTTAGTAAAGACATTTGAGAACTGCATCATATTAACATTTTATAGTGACTTTGGATTCAATATTATTCAATATTTGGGTAATATTAATCAAATTTTGGATGTTAACAGACTGTCTAATAAATACAAAAAAATCCAACTATAATTTGATTCAGTTTGCATTGGTATCAAAGAATATCACACAGACACAGATACAGACTCACATACACACTTTATTTGTAAACAAAAAATAAGAAAATTGATGTATTTTTCATTGCAAACTGCTCAAAGTGTACTAAGTAATCTCACTGTCTTATTTAGATCAGAAATGTTTCTTAGAGAAATAGAGTTTAATGTGGACTATCAAATATTTTTTCACTTCCACAAGAGCGAAAATATTTTCTATTAAATATAAATGTTTCTTTTAAAAAAAAGTAAAAGCAAACAATTTAAGAAAAATTCAAATTTAATTAAAGAAGTAGAAACTTATTTAATTTTGAGAAAATGAAAAATAGGAAAAAAGGACAATGAAACGCTGTAGAGTAATAACCTTGTCCTCTTAATTTCCAGAAACACATTCTTAGAATAAATATTGATAAAATATACAAATGTTAAAAGATAATATTTCCCTGTTTATTAATCTCAGTGAAAAAAATCTATTCAATTCTGTTCAAAGGGTCCCTCATATAGTAAAAGTCTCATTATCTTTTTTTTTAATGAAAACAGTCTATTGGGTCAGACATGAAATGATATGTTTTCCAACATTTTCTATTTTTCAGGAATTGCACATTATCACCATGTTCAAAGGTTCCCCTCTAGTTTCACTGATTGTGGAGTTGCTCAAATGACTACAATGGGAGTTCTAAAGAGTGATGCCAGATGTTCCTTCACCTTGAGGGCAGCAGGGTGAGGAAAGTCAGGTATCACTTTCCCTCACAGGTTTGTCCTAAACTTCTTGAAAACAAAAATCTCTGGGTGTAATGGAGATCAACTTAGCTCCTTATCCCAGTCAGACAGCTTCCAACATAATCCTTCCTTTTCTTTTCTCTTTTTTTCTGTTTAAATTCAATATTCACTTTGAGAGGTCTTTCTTGTGAGACGCTATGAGACATCACCCAAGCAATAGGTGCCTGCTTTGCAACTACAAAGTAAAACTTACTATTGTAAGCTTAAAACAGCTTTTAGGTCTGTAATGTAATTTATGTGGCCTGACTTAATTACTACCACTACTATCACTACTACTACTACTACAATTACTACTACTACTACTACTCTCACACACACACACACACACACACACACACACATTTGAATTTGGGGGAAAATCAGTGCATAGACATACTTGAAACTGATGTTTCTGTTTGGATGGGCATAAAATGATAATCAGATTCATTATATTTTCATAACCGAAGAAACACTATTCAATCACTTCTAGAATGTGTAATGGGATGAGAGGTAACTGATAAGATGTTGTTCTAAATAAAGTATGAATACTCCTTTTCATTGTTTGGCTAACAGCTATAAAACACCAAAAAAGAACTCTTTTAGTTCCATCAAAAAATTGCCAGCCAGGAATTTAGCTCAGTGGTTCCACCACCTGCCTTGCAAGCTCAAAGACCAGAGTTTGATCATCCCTGGGAACAAAAAAAAAAAAAAAAAAAAAAAAAAAGGAAATTGCACATTCAAAGTATGTCCACAATTCCATTATCAGCTAACACACTACTCTTTCTAAAACCATACTATGAGAGTATATTCTGCATTCAGAAATAATTTGGTTTTAAATTTATTTGTAGCACTATATCCTATAAACAGCACTGTATAACTTCATGCTATAAAGAACTTTTAAATCAGCTGTTTAGCAACTTTCTTTTATATAGTATAATTGCCACTGTCACTAACACAATCAATGGCCTTTAACCTCTACATCCAAGACATTAAATTTTGAGCGAGAAATATAAACTTCCAGGAAGCAATGTTTATGTACATGAATTTAACGTTGGTTTTCTGTGTGCCATATGAGTGGAAACTCACTGAAGGAAAAGAGAAAAAGTATGTGAGTTTCAGCAAACACCCCGATTCAAGCCCAGTATATAATTACTCACAGATGATATGGCAAAATCTTTACAACAATCCTAGGAGAGGAGTATTAATAAATGCATCAATAAACACTGAACTATAACAGTTGATGAAGCTAATAGCAAAGACACTTTAAATTATTAATCTAAGATCACACTGCAACCAGGAAGTAATAAGGCCTGAACTTAAAATCAAACTGAAGAGGCTCCAAAAGCTACATTTTTCATCCCATGTAGCTTTGGCAATTAATATTAATTTTTACTGACTCTTTTCACTAGATAAGTAAATCTCATTTTATTATACCTTCTCTTTAATTTTCTACATTTTTTATTATGTTTTGTGGCTCTCGTTTGAATCCTATCCTAGGTTTTTAGTTTGCAAAATGAGTCCAGAAGTAGAAATAATAATATCAAAGTTGTGTTCACAAATAAAAAGTAAATAATGCATTTGAAATAACAGAAACCTACTGAAAAAAAGATTTTTAGAAAGTACTTAATTCAACTCCTTAGTTTTAAACAATGAAAATTATAAACAAAGATTGCATTTAACTTATTGCCAAGATATTTTCTATTAAGGACTTCTTTTCTAATCCTAGATGCCTAGAATAAAATTGACTTACTTAATTTAGTCACAAAATCATTCAATTTGTATTTACTAGAGAATTGCTACATAGAAATGCAATGTTTTGAGCATCAAGGAAAATGATATGAGATAACCAAATGTGATATATGTAGACTCTGGGGGAGAGGAAGAGGCAAAAATTCTTAAAATATTTGTTCTGTGCCTCTCACTTTTCATGCACACAAATGTTTTCACTTCTCATTGATCATTCTAAGCTCAGTCAATCTTCAGGAATTCTGCACTCTCTGCTCCCTCTGTGTAAAATTATTTTCCCCTAGATATTCACAAGATAAATGCTCTTAATTCCTTCATGTTTCTATCGAATGTAACTCTCTCAGAGAAGACTTTCATCATTACCATCAGCTAGCAATATCAGCTCCATAAATGTGGAACTTTGGACTATCCCACTCACTGATAAGATCCCAGTACTTTGAATGTTTTGTATCACTAGGAAAGCTTAATAAATAAATATTTGTGTCATAAGCCAATGAGTGAAACAGGAGATAAATCTGAAGATTGAGTTTAAGAGGATGCCAAGAAAATTCTAATAATAGGGTTTTTATTCATTGAGTTTATTGGTACATTTTAGATATACAATATGACGGCATTCATCATTGGGAATCTTGGTTCTTATTTTTTTTTCCCATTCCCCTGACCTCAATCCCTCCACCTCACTCCTCCCTATTTACAAAGACTTTTTTTCCATTTTTTACTTTTCTCATATTTATTCCTTTTCCTGCTTTCCTCTCCCCTACACCTGACACTTCCCTTTCTCCTTTGTAACTTTTCTTCATATTGCACATTATCTGTTATATATCTTCCAAAAAGATTAAAAGAATCATATCACAGCAATATATGTGCACCCATGTTTATAGAGGCACAGTTTGTAATAGCTAAAACTTCTAAAGACCCCAATTTCCCATTAACTGGAGATTGGATAAAGAAGATATGGGATTTTTAATAAAATGGAGTACTAGTCAGCCATAAAAATGAGAAACCAGAGACATTAATAACTAAATGAGGGCATACTCTTGCACTAGTGTTCAAACTCAGTACCTTGAGCTTGCAGGGCAGGTGGTGGCACCACTGAGCTAAATCCCCATCCCACGGACATACTCTTATGTGAAATAAATAGAACAAACATGTGTAAATACCAAATAGTTTCTTGGGGAGGGGATTTAGCTCGGTGGCACTGGGCCTGCCTTGCAAGCACAAGGTCCTCAGTTCAAAGATCCAAATAGTTTCTCTGGTGTGAGAAATTAAAAGTGTAAATAAGGATAAATATGTCTAATTTTTAAACATTACTATTATTCACCCTTCCTATATTAAAATTTAACAACTAATCAGAGGTCTACTCAAAGTAATGCAAATACATGGAAAATGTTGAACTGTTATAGAGAGTTTCGGACACAAGTAACACAACACCCTCACTTAAAACTGCTCTGGCAATGACACTAGAGAAAACCACTGTAGACAATTTTCAGCGATAATTTCTGTTTTCTAAGTTAAATGATCACTTACGATACATACACCAATATACTAAATGAAGCAACTACTGTATTTAGTATTCTCTTGGACCTGATTATCCTGATGAGATTTATTATGGATAAATTTGTCTGTAAAAACTAATGCTTTCCTGGGTCCATCATCTACAAATTATCAAGATTAGGTACCATGTGCTATTAGATAGGGTATCTGTTATTTCTAAGTGAGTCTAGGCTTCCAGGGACAGTACCATCTCAGTTTTTTGTAAGAAGTCCACAGTATTTACTAATCACATGAGCAGTGTGTCTGCCAATTCACATCTGTCAGGTCCTCTTATTTGAATTTGATTTTGTATTCCATCATCCTCTTATAGGGGGACCATAGCCACTGCCTATCTAAGTAGTTTCATACATACTAGAAAGAAAAATAATTAAGAAAGAAAAAAAGAAAGGAAAGGAAGAAATAAAAGGAAGAAGCAAAAAAGGAAAGAAAAAATATGAGAGAGAGTGGAAAAACAAGAAAAGAAAGGGAAAGCAGGAGGAAGGAAGTGAGGAAGGAAAGTAAATAAAATGGAAATGAAACACAAAACCTAGAGATCACACCCATTCATGGCGGATCAGTACTTCTTCAGTAGGACAGAGGCTCTGCGAGAGGACACGTCCCCGGCTCACCTTATCCTATCATCGCCTGCCTTTTCTCGTAGTGGGGCTCAAGCGAGGCATTTGTTAAAGTGTGGTTTTCCATGCCTTCCTCTGGAGACGCTGCTTCAATAGTTTGCAGGCAAGGAGGTTGCAATATTTCTTTAACATCATCAGAGTCATTATTGCCACATTAAGCCAGCACTTGAATTACTTAAGGGTCAGTTAAACACAAATTAATCCATCCTAATACCTCCTATAGAACAGGTCTAGTGTAAGGCCCAAGAATTCACATTTCTAACAGACTCCCTTGTAATGTCATGTTCTTGATCAGAAACCACGATTTGAAAATGATTATACCATTGTTTTGAAAATGATTACACTACTGACTTCTTATAACCAAGTGGGTTTGGAAGAAACAACTGTCACACATTTATATGAAGCTATCGTTAAAATGACAAAATTACAAGATCCCAATGATGAATGTAACTATACCTAAAATGTACCAATAAGCTCAATGAGAGAAAAAAATGATGAATTAATTTTTTCTCTATCATGTAGCTACCGCATTTCTGTGCGCCAGAAATCAGATTCAAACAAATCTCTGCACCCTCCACATAAAAAGCAATAGAGAAGGTGATACTTAATCCACAGCTTTTTCTTTATCATGGGAAAACACTAGTTTAAATCACGGAGATGTTACCAGCAGTGCCTAGGTTAAACACTACAAAGAGTTACCCCACAGCAAGTCAGCAGAGAAAGCTATTGGAGAACACAGAAGGCTTTCAGAGTCTTGAGTTTCTCGGTCAGACTTAGATATTGGCGATGTCACCACATAATACCAAGTAGAATGAGCAAAAGCTAAATTTTAAGAAGCTGATTTCGGCTTGCTTATTACTCAGAGATCCAAATTGGGTCATCGGGCTTTAGGAATGGTGCTTCGCAGCCCAATTTGGCCACTGTGAACTCAAGCCGGTTGTGTCACTACTTTTCATGTGGAATTTAAGGGGTGTGACTGTGTCGTTTCCAACCCCGCATTCCACATGTGACAAAACTGATCCAGCTGTTTGTCTGAAAGAAATTCCTCGCTGTCCTTAAAAATTAAAAAGCAAGTGGATATCCGTCCTCCAGGGGCACGTCTCCAGCTGGAACCTGGTACAGGCAGTTGCGAAACAGAGACAGCGCCCTGGAGAGCATCTGCTTTTGAATTCTTACCTCGCCATAGGGGGGTTAGCCCCATCTTGCTTTTTGAAATGGCAGATTCTGGATGGAAGGTGCTGGCTTGGCCCAAAGCTCTTGAGAAGTGTTCATCCACTACTGACCCAATGTCTCCCTGGAAATAAGTGAAAAGGACACAGCGAGAGTTAAGGTACTCCATCTCGGCAGGCTGGTCTTTCTCCTCCTCCTCCTCCTCCTCATCCTCCTCCTCCTCCTCCTCCTCTTGTTTGCTGGGAAGGGTGACTTCCAGAGAGTCCTGCATCTTGCTGTATACCGCTAACTTCTTCTGGGATAGAATAAACAAAACACAGTATCAAAGATAGTTTGCAAAAGAAAAAAAAAGCATTAACTAGTTAACTTTTCACTTTACAAAAAAAAAAGGAATCTAAATATTAACATATGTTTGCAAACTGATTCTTCTTCATCTGTTTTTCTCCATCTTTTCCCTCCCCAACCAGTTGCCTCCTTCCCACACTGAAAAAAAAAATCTGTTATTTCAAATTTAGCAGACAAAAGTCCATTATCAAATTGTGTATTTTCAAAGTATCACACAGAATTCAATTTGGGGTTTTGCTGGTTATTGTTTCAAAACCAGCTACACTAAAATAATAACTATTTTAAAAAATAACAACAGAACCCTTCTAGTTTTTCTTCCCATATTTTATTCACTTGTAAAGAGTTAATGTATGGTAACATTTGAGTCTAGGACGGGGAAGAATAGAGTTTAGGAAATCTAAGTAGAGGCAGGGTAGAGAAGAAAAGAACTTCTTTCAAATAAAATAAACCAAAATAAAAACAGGAATGTAGCATCTTATAAAAACATTTGGCAGATGCGCTGAACTCATTTCTCAAAAATCAAACCAAAATGACAAAAAATAAGTCTGTGTGAAGATGCATTTTGCATAGAACATATTTTTCAGATGTTCCACTCACCACCATTATCATACAGGACAAAAAACATTTTACTGAGGCTTACTGAAAATACTACCAAATGCTAACAAGGGCTAACATTTCAAATTAAAAAATGAGAAAATTATAATCTAAAATATATTTCAAACATATGATGATGGCTATAATATTATATAGTATGCAGGACATTCTTTTAAAATCTTACATTTATTGCCTCATCTTAATCTTTATAATTTAATAAGATGGTTATTACTACTCTCTGTACCTAAAAGAAAAAGACATTTAGACCTAGAAAAATGAGATGACTTGCCAAAGGTTACAAAGCCTACAAATAATGGAGCTAGAATACATAATAAAACATGTAAGTGTGTTTATGTGTGTATGTGTCTATATGTGTGTGTATGTTTATATGTGTCTTCACGTATGTGTGCTGGAGAAACAAAGAAGAGATGCCCAGTGTAGGAGAAAACATTACTAAAATATTGTATTCTGCATTGATTTCCTGCCTGGCAATGTGGTAATTAATGATTATTTTCTTATGCTTTTAAATATTTCCAAATATTTTCACAATTGAATTACTTACATTATCAAAAAATGATTATGAATTATATGTAAGAAGATAATGCTAATGCTTATAAATACATTATTTTAGTGACCAAAATTTTTTTCTGATTCACATAATTATCTGCAAAATTCAATCCTTTCTCATATAATTTTCTAGAAAAAAAATACATTCTGAAAAATGAGTGTGAATAGAAAAAAAAATTCCAGAATACTCAGTAGCTTTGCAAATGTTATGAAAACACATTAGGCAGTTTATGTGTTTCTGATGTAATTACTAGCTTTAAAATCCATAGCCCAAATTATGTATCACTTAATAAACAAAACATTTCTCCCATGAATGATTATGTTGTTCTTGTGTGAGGTGGGTCCTAGATAGTTCAGGTATATTAGGAGCTGCAAATTACTATGACAAGGCTGATACTTATAAATACATGTATTGCTTGTTATTTAGAATGTTATATGGTCATCATTTGTTGATGAATAGATAATTCATTCCTTGTAAATGAATATGGCTTGCTGATAACAGGTGATGGTAATGACTACCTAATTGTATTTCTTATGATCTCCTTTTGCACAGATTTCAACATATCTATATTTATCTTCAGTAGAAAAAACACCATAGCAATATGTTATGTGTAAAATGAGGAGACTAAACTAAATCACCTCTAAAGTTACTACTAGTGTTACATTCCACTATAAAATTGAACAAATATTATGATTTATAGCTCAAATCACAGTGCTTTTTTCCTGTGTGACATGTATTTATGCAAAGCATACACTATTGTAGCATATGCAAACACTCTTTCTTGAATATTCTAGCATATTTTGTATGGAAAGAAGTTAAAATTGAACTACAGGGTAGCTTCACTCTCTACAAGTGTTCATTATTATCAATAAAACTGACTTCTTTTTTCCTGTTAATGCCCAACTTAGCATTAATTTTTCAAGCAGGCTTTGCATATAATTGTTTCATTTGTTTAATTGTAGCATTTATTCTTTAAATAAAAGAGCCTTGGCTGTACTGATTATCCAAATAAAGGCAAAGGTTTATTTTACCTCCAATTAACAGCAATTAATTCTTAGGTGAAATAAAATTAAGTTATACACGTAAATTTTTCAAAGTTAGAAATTGTGATACAAATGTAAAAACATTCTGTGATCAATAATACCAATCATAAAAGACCTTAAAATTTTAATTGAATACAGCTGAATTTAAGCTACAGCTTGTAAACCTATAAAATTATATAATACTCTAAGTGGTACCTAACCTTGTGATTTTTTTTTTGCTACTAAAAATGCTGAATAGTACAGATCTATACAAATAAATTAATCTTTAGAATAGCATAGGTTTTAGTATACAATGAGAAAAGATAAGCAAAACCTGCCACTCTATCAAAATATGTCCTTAGAACAGTTTTTAAAAAATCATTTTTCTGCCAGTGTATGCACTGATAGTCTTTCTATTTCATACATGTAATACTTCTCTACTCAAATAATTCTGCATGCCAAAATATTCCCTTTTGATATTTTAATGAACTGTGGTTCTATGAAAATGGGAACCTGTGATATACCTACCCACAGGCGGGATATTGGAATATTTATTGTTTCCACTTGTACTTTTCTCAGATAAAGTTAAACTAATTTTCACAAATAATAGTGAGACAGCTTAAAACTATACCTTTCTAACACACAAGCGTATGTAGGCTAATAATACTGCTAGTTAAGATAAGAATTTCAAAGCACACAAGTGACCTGATAACTACTTAAAATGCTAAATTCGAATTTGCACAAATGTTTTAAGTGTGACTCTGAAGAAACACAAAATACTCTCAACTGACTCAGGCTGATATTCACACTGTCCTAATTTTCTTCTTCATAGTCTTAAGCCTCTGCTTTCTAATAGCTGTGCTTTAGTGAATATCAAAAAAGTCCTCACTTTTTTACATAAAGTTACCACACTGCTCATGTTCGCCTTTCCCATATTCTACATTCACTTTATATTTACTTGTTGGAATGTTGTGTTACATTCTTTTCTGGGAATAACATATACTATTCAAAATATCGAGATTAAATCTCAAATCATCAGGACCCAGATTTCTGGAATCAAGGCAAAATGTAATCTAGTACATATTTTTCTCAAAATGTACAATCACTTCTAAAATTATCCCAATCTCATAAATATTCATGCTTTTTTCACAAGACCCTAAAGAACTGTCACCAAAACTAAAGAAGTCATCAAAAGGGATTTTATAGACTACCAGTTATTTAATACACTCATGTTTCATTGTCACTGCTTAACAATGACAAATTTGCCCCAGGTAATATAATTCTGGAGTTGGGTGAAACAATGAATGGGCTAATAGCTACAAAGTTAAGCTAATGCACAAACGTGCAAAGAGTTGGCATAGACAGACCTGACCATTGCAGACCACCTCAAAGCCTGCCACTAGGCATGAGACAAGCAAACTTGAGCCGGAATGTGCAGGAGAAAGGATTTGTCTGACAAGAAAAAGACTTCCATGTCAGGAGTCAAATACCACAAACTCCCCAAGGCTTAAGCCTGCAAAATGCCAAATGATTACTGTGCATATGTGGAGACTTTTTTACTAAGGAAACAAAAGTATTTTAATGAATCACTGAAATCATTGGATACTTGGAAATAGCTATTTTTAAAGATATTTACTAGCCATCTTCTTTAAATGTAACTAATCTTTTATGTTCAAACATATGGTCAGAGCCTATGGAAAGACACTGTCCTAGAGTAAGGAAGTATTTTAAAATAGTGAAGTCAACAAAATAATCTCACTGTTCTTTGAGTATATTTTTCTTAATTCACTTGTATAACAGATTTTTAAAAAATATCTCAAAAACATTTAAAATTTTGATTCTTGTCCTGTCTTGGAATTGGCTGGATCAAGAAATTGGAGATTGTGTTAGATTAGGGGAAATACAGCAGGGATCTTTTATGTATTTTATTTCACTAATCTTCACACAAAAATATTTGACAGAATAATCATTGTCAATTTACATATGCAAAAATAGTTTGCTTTGCCAGGATTGCCTAACTAGTAAGTGGCAGAGTGAGAATAGAACTTATTTTTGTCTGACAACATGGCTCATGTCAAGAAAATAGTCTACAGAACATGAGTCTCTATAAAATACTTATTTTGGTTAAATAAACACGAGATGCCCACAGCCAGCAAGGCATCACATGTAACTTGGACACTCTAAAGTTGTTTATAACATTAAAATATCAGAGTAGAACTCATATCAGAGATACTGCTATTGAGTAATGCAGTGTTCTTAAAAGTGTATATATCTCAATGAAAAGAAACTCTGTACCTAAAAAATGTATTGTCCTCTGGCAATCACATGCATAACATATTTGGTGATAATTTTTCCAGAAATTCTATTCTGCAAAGGTGAGCAGAATTCATTTGTGAGAAACAGTCACACATCAGATATTGCATTTGTTTTTATTTGCTTGGTTTTAAATTTTTTCTTAATAATAGTAATGTTATTTTAAAATAATATTACCTAATGTGATAAACTACTTTTGGACACACTTGCCTACCAAGTCTGGTCATTATCAAAAATGCAGCCTACCTCCTCCAAGGATGAAAATTTTCCAGTTTTTATGATGTTCGAAAAAAATGTGCCACAGGCTCAAAAGCAATTTCAAAATTTGCATTCCCAAAATGTTTTAAGCCATGATCACATCATTAGGGTATGTGTTCTTTCTCAAACCAACTACTTTGAATGAAACAACAGTTTCCAATGTACAAATCTCTGCTATGTTTGCACAATACTGTG